AGAAGAGAAGACACATGGGGCAATTGGCTTCCTGGAGGCTTTCACCAACCGGCGTCATTTCATCTCTCCGACTCCAGAGAGGAATAAGCTTGTTTTTAATTTCAATATCTTCTTTGTGCTTTGAAGTTTTTTAGTGAGTGGATTGGTTTTCCGGGATAGGGTTGCTAGCCTTATGTCCAACCTTCCCTCTTTATCTGGGCTTAGGACCATCTAGTAACTTATGAACTAGTTAACCAGGCGAAATTTTCAAACTCATAGTTACTTAGTTAGTACAAAGATTCAATATTTCGTCTCTGCATCGTGCAGACTGTGTATAATTGCTTCCAATACTTTAATTTTTTATACCCTTTTCGCAAGATAAGCTGCTTATGATAGCGTTGAAAGCGTGAATTAATAATAGACAGAGGTCTGTTCATCATTTGGAGTCATCGTTGGTTGATTCCACGAGACATCACAAAAAGTAACTGTCAGATATTATCCACTCAAGACAATACAATTAGTACCTTCCACTATCTTGTACTATCACACATTACCTATAATTATATGCAGATCACTCGCTTAGAACTGACCTTCACCCCTACTCTAGAAAGTTCAGCGTTATGAAATCACGTAAACATGTCACTAAGCTAATCTGCGCTCTGTCCACAAACAACCCAAATTTGTATAAAGGACACGAATACAAGAGCGAAAACAGAATCTGCCACGGAACTTTAACTTCACATAAGTGTTTACAATGAAAGATGAGAAAACCGGTGAAAATAAAAGAGGTCATCATAACGTTTGTCCAATTTTTTTGGACAGACATTGAATGAGTTTCCGTTGTCACGATCGCTATCCAATTATTTTTGAGAAAAGGCTGCAACTATCAATTTTTAACATTCTTTAGACCTCAGTCAGATGGCCCAAACTACTCCAACCTTCTCAAGACAACTGTCGTCAGCTTCAAGGTTAAATGTAGCATCTATTTTTAACTGACTAACACTAAACCGACTGGCATTGATGTCAGGGTGGACTGGTGTGAATTATGCAGACAGCTCAAGGAAAATATCTGTAATTTTCTTGAGTTTTCTGACTTGAACAAGATATACTTAGCAATCAACAGGAATTCCTGAGTGGATAACTGTGATAAAATTGAATAGAATTGGGTGAAAAACATTCCCTTTGTGTGGTTAGAAACCTAATTTGGATATTTTAATTCTTAGAAGATTACTGTCACGATTATGTTGAGTGAAAATCACCTTTTGATCAACCTAATACAATCAGGTATTTATCCAGACTGGCATAATTCGGTCACTCCGATAAGTGGTGTCTAGCTTTTATTGACGACGTTGAAATTGAATACTTAATTTCAGGTAAAAGACAAGTTATTATTTCAAGCCGAAAAGAATTTATACAGCCTATGAAATTTTTCAGAGAGGGTGTTTTTCGAGACTACCTACATCCTGACTTGATTAGTCCTCAAAATGAGGAGCCCCTTCAATTCTCTGCCTGCTAATAGTGGTGTGAAGAGGCAGTTTTAACCATTCAAAATTATACTTAAAGTATCTTAGACAATATTATCTGTCCATTCTGAAAATTAAATTACAAGGGCGTATTTTTATATCCGTATCATCACAGACAAACTTTAATTATCCTTGAATTCTAAAAAATGTGAATAATCCTTGATAAATTACGGTATCTTAAATACAGCTTATATCCGTGTCCTTAGAACCTATCAACATATTTAGAGGTATATTGTTTTTGGTACTTTGCAGTCCTAACTTCGGTATGTAGATTAAAAAGCATGATTTAGAAGCCGATGTATTGCCATTATCTTTCGTTTACAGTTAATCGACTGGGAAAGCAGCAAAAATTTTGACGGTTAAAACTGAATGTTTTGAGACTAGTTTTATTCATCGTGCAAAATGTAAACTAGTGAAACTGCAGCACAACACTTGTTGGTAGCAAAAATTAGTTACGTGGAAAAATTAGGACCTTCACGCCAAAGCGATTCACATGAATAAATTTAAGCTGCTTTATCTAATATACATTTACGTTTTTATGAAAGTTTACACCTTAGGTTTTAAGAAGCTACTATCTAGACAAAAGATCGGTACATGACACCAAAATGATCCCTCACCATGTGATCCTTTCTTAACGTGGAGATATAAACTGTGGTTGATTGGATTTTTAGGTATTTACCTCCTAAAAGATAACTTTATCCAAACCTATATTGATATAGGTCTCTTACATTAATGTTCCTAATCTTGCAAATAAATTTGGCGTGCTAGAAACTTTGATGGATGCGTTATATAGATTCGTAGAAATATGACTTATACCTTATCCAAATGAAACGACAATGATCTCCAGAAAGAAAATTAGCGGTGATGAAGCAGGAAAATAAGTGTAGTGTGGCAGTAATTTATCTCACTGATGACCTTCAAGTACATTGCTTGTTTTTAGTAGTAAATGAAACAAACATTTATGAGATAAAATTTTATGATCTTCCATTTCAAAAATGAATAGATCTTGTTAACAAGATAGGGCATAGTCTATTAAATTGTAGGAAAAGGTAACCAACAGAGGTGGAAGCTTCCGCCGTCTCAGTAAATTTTAATGCATTCGGTAAAAATGAGATTCAAACAAAGTTTATAGCTCACCTTATAGTATGTTAATCCTCTTTATAATAAAGCACGCCCTTAAACAGCAAATCTTTCATGTGTTTCGGCCTAAGTAGCGAATCTTCCCCTCCAGATCTTGTGCCAATGCATGAAACCGATGATCTATTAAACGCTAGAATTCTTTTTCGGCTAATTGACAGTACCTATGCGGCCCTTTCCTTAGAACTTAAAGCCATTGATGCGGCTAGTGTCCATGTTTATCACCGTATAAAGTTACAATACGTGAACACTATAGTTATGGCAGAAAAGCTTTGAATGAAAGACTGACGAACAGACTCAATATTAGCTCTTTATTATTTGTGAAGTAAATTTTAACGTGCCCTTAAAGTTGCAGCAACTTATATACCTTCGTCAATTCCACATATACCCTGAGTGTAGACTGACTCAACTAAGTGGTGACGAATGGTCTTAAAACGACATTCTCAATTTCGTGTAAAGGTTTACTGGTCGACTTGATCTGCTTTCTTGTCTCAGCACAACATTAGTTTAAGACATCAACGACATTCATGGTTTCATTGTTCACACACCGAAATTGACTTGTTAGATCAAGCTGTTAATTAATCGGACTCTGTGCTATAAAATGTGACTCCGCATCTTCTTTCAGTAATTTAAAGACCTGAGTGAAGTGCCCAGTTTTATTAACCAAAAGAATTGAAGTCATTAAGCGATCTAAAAAATAACGTGCTTCCCCTATTCTCAAAGCGCGAAGAGTATTCTGCAAACTATGGTTACGACTAAACAAAACCAGACGTTTTTCTGCATCCAATAGACAAGCTAACGCACAAACAGTAATTCTGCTAGGGAATTCGCCAGAAAAGGGTTGTCATGCTCTGTTAGAAATGAATGATCTCATACCGGTGTTCACCATTTGAACACTCTGACGAATATTTGTAGCTCAGATGTTTGCTGTTGGTTCCACTGCATTCTCTGAGCTAACAAGTTCAATCTATCGGACCAACTAGCTAAGGAAAAAACATAAATAGGTACTTTTAAATCCCTAATGATTTCTTTTGTACTGACATCACATTTTTCACTTTTATTAGGATTGACGTTTTCCTACGCAGCCGCAAGAGATTTTGAAAAGTGAGGTACAATGAATTTTACGTGGAACTGCTTTTATTCTACAGAAATACCGACAAGTTAGACTCCTAATTAGTCAAGCTGTGTCAACTTCTACAATGAAGATGCTCAAAACGGAACTGAGTCTTCATACGTATATCTGCTGTCAACATATACGAATACACATATGACACACTATCCAAAATTCTAAACTGTAACGACAAAGTGGGATTTTTAGTTCAAACCTCCCGTCTTATATGTGATAAAACAGCCTATAGTGGAACAAAAAATAGCTGACTCTAGTCAGCAATTGAGAATGAAAGAAGCGGTTTATTACACATTACCTCTGCCCCAGTTTTATTCCTACCGTAACCATTTAAGCCCTTTGAATCATTTCTAACTGCCGTGAATTAATCTCACCTACTTAAGTTCTTCATATTTTTGCACGCCTCCTCACCTTACTTGGGTGTAAGTGGATTACTCCATTAGTTCACTTCTCTTTCTTTTTTTACTCACACAAATTTGCCCTTCTAAGTTTTCTCTTTACTACCCCTAACTCTCTGTAACGACTAGTCCAAACAACTGTCTGGCAACTCGACGTCTGGAGAAGCCAACTGTACCACAGCCAAAGTCAAAATAACCAACATTTTACCTTCTGCTCTATATACCAGAGCTATAGCAGATGAGTGAGTGGGTCTTCTAAATCGGAATCCGACAAAGACCTGAAACAGTTCTGCAAGACCAAGAAGCTACCAAGAAGAAATCAACCGGTTTACACAAGCTCATTAGACAGATATTAGATATTGAGACTTGTAGTATCCTAATACTGTCGAATGTTTGACGAAATACCAAGGCAGATCAACCCAAAAAGCTTTCATCCGGAAGCAAAACGTAGTAATCAAGTTTAAAAAGGCTTGATCACAAACAATCTGCAGAAAACTAGAGTTTCTGACACAGTAATTAAGAGAAGTTCCATCCAACTGTATAGTTATTTTGGAAAACCAAGGAAGGTGCCGATTAATTATCAAGCTTTCAAAGACCTTCAGGGAATAACCAGCCTACTTACAGTTTGAAAAAGTCCTATTAACTCACTTGAATTCACACAAAATTTCAAGCTTTGATAGTGTGCATTATATATGAAAAATCCAGTAATTTTCAGGATCTAACTTTCTATACAAATTTAATGTACAGAATGAAACAGGTTTCATCTGAACAACAATTTAAAAGTTTAACTGTTTAAAAAAATAAAACTTCACTGTCACTAAAGATACAGAAACTCACAAAGATTATTAAAAGATGGAAGGTCGATTGCTGTTACGAGTCATAACAATTGAAGCAGTAAAACAAAAGCTGGACTGACATTTGGTCTCACCTGTGTTTGTTTTCAGCATAATTTAATCCAGTCAAACCTTTGAAAGTGAAATAAGATTTGAACTTGACTTTTCTATTCCTGTTGTAGTAAGTCGGAATTCTTGCTCTCGGCAAGTGGTATTAGATCCTTTGCTTATCTCATACAAACAGGAAACGTATCTTCGCTGAAATACCTCCTTCAATGATTTACACAAGCCAACTGACCTGCACTTCTGAATGTGAAATCCTGAGGAGCCAATACGCGCAGCATATCATGAGCTCAATCTTTTCCATTTGGCTCATAGATTCAGGGGAATCAAATTTGTTGTCTCTATAAGATAAACGGCCTGAGATTTGAGAAGTGATCTCTCTGTTTTGGGAGGCAACTAAAGTGAAGTTCCCTTTTAAAAGCCAGATGGCTAGCCCCAGTGACATTAAAAACTGGGGAGTGTAGGCTATCATCTTTCCAACCTTTTAATGCAGAAATGAGATGACAACCCTGAGACTACTTAAGTGAGTTCAAGCATTGTGACCACGTACAGCTGGCCATACTGTACAAGATAATCGACCGCCCACATTTGGAATAAGCTAAGTGTAAGATTTCACTCGCCTGTGGTGCTGCAAATGAACCAAGTAATTTAAAACGCTATTGCCCTATAATCTTCAAATTCTCAGGGCCATCTGACGCTAAAAGTTTATCGAGCTTCGGAACAGTGGTTGAACTAGTTTTGACTTTTAAAAAACCGCTAAGATGTTAGACAGGAAAACCTGTCAACGTAAGAAGCATCTAAAAGTGACTTGTGATTTCGGAGGCACTTGGAAGCGCATTGGAATCAATCGATGAAGAAAGGCTTGGTAATCCATCGGTATCACCTAAAAACACCCCCCTAGACCCTGATGCGAGTCCTGGAATCAGCTTGGCAGAACCACAGAATTATGTTCTCAAGACAAGCTAGTCTGATCGAAATATAGTTGATACCTTCTTTAGGAAAAATATGTCGTCAGAAAACCTGATTGCACCACCACGGCGTTTGAGTTCAATTAGAACTGTGAGGACAATAATTTTTATGGCACTTTTCAAATAGCGGCGAAGAATACTTCCTAGTTAGAAAGGCCATAATACGAAGTCCCACTCTTAGGCAACTCAAATCTATGCACTGGAGTGCCAAACTTATGAATTATATGTCTATTTGTACCCTGTCTGCTAAGAAGTGTTCATTATTGTGTAACATTTCAATTCAGTGATCATAAAAGTCAAAGCATATCACAAAGCTGACGACGTTACTCATTGCCGAGCCATGATGCTCATCCCATATCATGGACGTGGATTCTCCTGCCGATGGACACACTTTCTGCCTCACAAACCGAGATCACGAGTCTGGAGGTAGGTGTTTCATAAGTGTATGTAGTCAGATTACGGCACACGAAATCGTAGACAACATATTCAATGCAGTACCTGACTCCCCCTGGGTTATTCTACCTTGCAGCGAATACGAAAGGCTTACAGGCTGTGCATTGAGTACCGTACTCAGTAACGCGGTTGGATGTACTTCTAGTGTAAGCATTCTCTCATGCTTCCTCATACGACGTAGATTAAAGGGATCGATGGATTCTCATCCTGGCAATTATCCCGAAAAAAACTCGAATTCGTCAAAAATCTGCTCGAAAATGTACTAAATTAGAGGCTGGAAGCTCGTAGAACTAACGCCAAGAAATACGGCCTAGCATCTCCCCTGAACAGGTCTGCAAGTACCATTAGATATACGATACTTGCTCCACAACCAGGTAATCTCTGAAAACACGATTTGCGAACTTCAGGAGAGGTGTTTCTAAGCCTCAGACAAACAGAAAGAGTGAAAACAGATCTCCTTGATTCAGCAACCGGGAGGGATAGTAAAAAGATATTCCCTCGATTCTGCCGAAGCTGCTCACTCTTCCATTAGAAGCTATAACCTGTCCTACTGACAGGAAAACTTGCTTTACAGCTCCATGTTTTAAATCTGAAGGTAAGGTCAGTATCAGCAACTACAAACCCATGGAAATAACCCTTGCTTCAACGCATTTTGAAGGGGACAATGTGTCTGCGTACCTGTTTGTGATTTTTAGACGAAATCCCAACGTGGGTCCCTGAAGAACATGATATGCGATGCATGTCACATTGACTTCCTCACCCTTATTACCAGCAGCTGTGAGGCAAGCAGAATGGTCATTCCCTTGTGCTTCCATATATTGAAGGTGTTCGATGAGGCTTATTTCGCTCACGGTGTGCACGAACAGAATTCGCGATTGCATTCCCGATGGGGGGAGTTTTACGGCACTCCAACAACCCGAACGTAATTTACTCATGTTACCGCCTTAGGCTAAGCGACATTACGACTGCGGTTGGACTTGGGGTAAGTAAGTTTGCTTCCTAGTGCACCGAAACTCCCGTAGTTCAACATAGAAAAGTGCCGGCAGATTCTCACTGTCAACGGGAACCATGGCTTGATATTTGAAGTGTGTGAACGACCGTTAGCCACACCAAATTTTTTCTTAGACCCAGGCATAAGAATTCCAGTGACTTGGCTTCCGATGAGTAAGTGGCTTCAGGCAGATCCAAATCACTCAGAACCCTTAGAAGTACCATTCATAACTCCGAAGGTAATAAATCAAGGGTCATGCTTCAGAAGTTGTTCTTTCATTCTCTTCTAAAACACCGTCCGTGAGTGTATTCAGCGCAGGTGACATATCGAGAGGTACAGTTGTTCCTCATATTAGGAGCACTAGGAACTGTGATTGAAACAATTTTTTAAGTGTAACGCGTTGGGTTGGGAACCTTTCGGAGTATATGACAACTTAAGTTCATCTTTTACCGTTAATTGGTTCATAAGCACCCGCACCCTCACGTTGCCTGAATCAAAGTAGCTGTAAAATGTTATGAAGGAATCAACCACAAATTATCAACCGTCGGCGATTTTTATACCAATGGACATCACAAAATTTCACCCTTTGCAGACTTTCTGACATTTTGGACAGGCCGCCTGGAGGACTAAGCGAAACAAGTTCATTACCACTCTTTCCTTTGTCACTCAGTAGGTTGCCCACATACGATGACTCGGTCATGCACTAAGCCAACGTCTATGCTTCCCGAGCTAAAGAGAAGATATAAGAAGTGCCACACTAATAATACGAGGGTCAAATATAATTTATAGTGTTCATTTTCAAGGTGTGAAAGTGTGGTGTCATCAAACAAACATATGTTTATACGTGTACAACAGCTGTTGTAAGCCGCTGCAGGAGGACCAGCACCAGACATATGTCACGGAATGATTTATCTTCATGTGTTTAAAAGTGAGACCCAGGGGTGAATAGATGCTTATACGCGGCCTATTTGTTGGGTGGTGCTGAACAGTAAGACGCACGCCTCGAGGCATTTGGGACTCGTCAGCTGCATGTACCTGCATTTCAGATAATTATGTTGTTCTCCCTAAGGCTGGAATCCAGTACCCGTCACCTCAAACGCCAAAGTTCTAGGCCACAGAGACCACTTTTGCAACGAGTACTAGTTGCTACTTGTTAATGCTTGTAATGCTGTGAACCCAGGATTGAGCATGAAGTATTATCACTTGTTGTAACTGGACTACCTTGAGGGTGGTTAATTCTAGCCTGAATGGCTGAACGATGACAAACGACATTACATTCTTAAAAATTCAGGATTCACTGCACATCCAGGGGATGGAAAATAAATTCGATGGGTTGACCAGCTGTTGCTCAGCAAATGATAAATCTTACATGAATAAATGCGGACCTTTATCACACTAATCAGTACCTTATTTGTGTGTGAGTGCCATTAACAAAAAACCAAGAAGAAAACAAGTTGGTGTATACTCATTGATCCGAGGTAAGAATGTATTTTGGAAAAGTATTTGTAGCGTCACACACTTCCCCAAAATCAATGGCCTAGGGTTTGACGACCTTCGACATTGATGCTGACCTTGATAGTTTAACTGGACCTTCTAAGCTGAAGGCACCCGGTCAAGCATCCTCGCCACTTGGCACGCTGTCGTGTTACGTTGCACTGCTCGTATTCGACTCTCTAGCCGGTCAGTTAGAACGCATCGGTATTTTGGCACAACCATCCAAATATACTATTTCATCCGACTAGGCTATGGTGTTCTTGCTTGGTCTCGTATTCGTGGGTATATAGCAAGTCCGAATAATTAGTGATTGGTCTTTGCGTCTGTCAAGTTCGCACCAGGACAAATCCTGAATTGGTGAGCTCGACGTGATCAAATATCCCGACGTGGTCACATCCCAGCCAATAACAAGTATTGAATTGGTGAGTCTGCTTCATTTTATATTTGTATATTATCTTCATCTCGATAACATTTATATACCCATTTACTACACTTTCTCATGTCCGAACACACTCCCAAGCTTATTCATATCAAGCCGACTACGAACACGATCCAACTCGTGCCATATTGGACAGACTATGCAGAAACGTGGTTTCTGTACGCCGAAGCCAATTTTCGAGAACGGGGCGTGTCAAATCCTCATTCTCGATTTCTTGCTGTCGTGCGGTCACTACCGCGGGAATGTTTAAATGTTTTATTCTCGTGTTAAAAAAAGGAATTAAACAGGTATGTTACAGCACACATGTTTAATCCTGAAGTAAGTGATCCTTATGCACTTCTAAAGGCCGCACTCTTGAAGAAAAGCGATCTGACAGATCGCCAGCGCCTAGACGAATTACTTCGTAACGTCGAGCTGGGCAGCAACTCAGCTACTGAAGTCCTCGCACACATGCGAGAAGTTATGGGTGCACGAACATTCAACGATGGCCTCTTCCGAGAGGTATTTCTCTCGAAACTGCAACAACCGGTGCAAACCGTGTTGGTGACACTCAGTCAGTCCCACTCGATGACCTGGCAGCCTCAGCAGATAAAATACTGGAGATCTCCAGCAGACCCGTCTCCAACATATGTT